GAGCAAAGCAGTGAACTCGTGTGCCAATGTCATCGCCCTCAGGCCCCACTAACACAGTATCCAATGTCGCTCACCTCTGTCTGGCGTCATCGCCCTCCCATCCCTGCTCGCCCTTCCCATCCTTCATCGCCCTCCCATCCTTCATCACACTCCCATTCGTCAACGCCCTCCCATCCCTCCTCGCCCCTCCCATCCTTCATCGCCCTCCCATCCTTCATCGCCCTCCCATGCTTCATCGCCCTCCCATCCCTGCCCCTCCCGTCGGCCAGACCCTCCTCCCACGTCACAAAAATGCAAGGAATATGAGCGAGAGCGATAGACAGAAAATCAAGTTGCAAAATCACGCAGAATTCCAGATAGTCATGTACCTGGCAGAGAGCTCAAATGCACCAAGATTCCATGCAAATAAGAGCAAAGCAGTGAACTCGTGTGCCAAAGTTATCACACAGAGGGCCCTTTCAGGGCCTGTCCGGTTGGGGTACCGGTTCTCAAAAAACATCTGCATTATTTTTCTGGGATACCCCAGGCCCAGGTAAACGGTCTGGGAACCCCCAAAAAAATTCGAATTTTTCGAAATCGAGGTCCAACCGGACCTGAAAGGGCCCTCTGTGTGATAACGTTGGCACACGAGTTTACTGCTTTGCTCTTATTTGGATGGAATCTTGGTGCATTTGAGCTCTCTGCTAGGTACATGACTATCTGGAATTCTGCGTGATTTTGCAACTTGATTTTCTGTCTATCGCTCTCGCTCATATTCCTTGCATTTTTGTGACGTGGGAGGAGGGTCTGGCCGATGGGAGGGGCGACCAAGGATGGGAGGGCCTGTCCGGTTGGGGTACCGGTTCTCAAAACACATCCGCATTGTTTTTCTGGGGTACCCCAGGCCCAGGTAAACTGTCTGGGAACCCCAAAAGAATTTCGAAATTTTCAAAATCGAGGTCCAACCGGACCCGAACACCGGACATCGGACTGTCCGGATCAGGATTCGGACGTCCGGTTGGTAACCATGGTAACAACTGCTTGGAGGGATGGTATCAAAATCAATATCAAGAAGAGTAAAGGGTGTTAGAAGGGGTATCAAAAAGGGTAAAAACTGTTTTTGGAGGGATGGTATCGCACGATGCTGGAGTAATCAATGCTGGTCAGGGTTCCTTCGGCTGTTTCATGATGTAATATTTTGTTCTTTTTTCTTTTTTTCCTTTTCTTTGAAAAAGTCCATGGTGTTGTAGAGGCCAGTCACTGAGTACACAGTGATCACCTGGAGCAGTAGGCCGTGGGTGTCCTGGAATATGAGACCACCTCCCATTCCATCCTCACGTCAATCCTCCTAGCGCACCCCCTATCTCACTATCCTACCTCAGTGTGACCAGCACTCAGGACCATTACGCACCAGGGCTGATAGGTTGCCCAGCCCTGGTGGAAGTGGAATCGGACGAGCCTTGTCGAACGGGAACTTCGGACGCCAGGCCCAGACAATCTACTACAGGCCCCAAGAGACTCTGGGCGCTAGGTTGCACCCATTGAAGCAGTCTTACCGTCCTTCCCCTAGCTTACCCAAGGCCAGGCGGAACTCGGACTGGCCTGAGCGACTTATACCCCTACCCTTACCCCAGGGTCTAAGCCTTATATATAGCCACTAGACAGTTCTATCCTAATATTCGTAGGAACTCCGGTGGCCCATACCTGTCCCTACTGCAGATATTAGACCCCACCCAGAGACTAGACCCCCCCAGTCTGATAGTTGTGTAGTTCGCAATGTATGTGTATACCCGAAGGCCGTGTATGCTCCGTGTATCTATGTATCAAGATGTACAGACAGCACTATGTGTGGAAACTTGTGTATGTAGCCCGTAGGCCATGTATAATTTGGAAACTATGTATATGCCCGAAGGCTGTGTGTGCTCTGTGAATCCATGTATCGAAATGTATAGGCAGCATCATGTGTGTATATCGAAGAGAGAACGGGGTAAGCTGGACAGGCACCCCCCCAAGGTCCGAACCAAGCTCGAACCCGTGACCTTCTAGCATGTAATCATATGACTCTACCATGTGAACGACTAGTGGAAATGGCACGAACATGTGATATGCCAGACTGGGGAGATCAACAGAACACCCAAGACCAACACCCCCAAGCAACTCATGTCAAACTCAGAACCAACATACAACACCATGAACAACCCTTGGGTGGTGCGCAGGCAGTGTCTGTAATAGTACCATGCGTCAGCCCAAGGGAGTGTATGTCCAGCCGTGTGTCAATCTAACGCCCTGTTGGTGTCCATGCGCAAGGTTGCAATTGAGTTTTGAACCCGCAACCTCATACCACAATGCGCATTTCCAACCGGTGCTCTAACCACTGAGCCACATCAACTGGACAATGTAATATTTTGTTTCTGACTTGCCGGTGGAATAGGAACCGGACTGATGCTCCCCAGAATGGAAACAGAGCCAGGGCCATAAGGACCTGTATTTATGGAGAAAAAAAAAGAGGGATGGTATCGAAAACGGTATCAGAAAGGGTACCAGAGAGGGTATCAGAAAGGGTATCGAAAAGGGTATCAGAAGGGGTATCAAAAAGGGTGAAAACTGCTTGGAGGGATGGTACCAAAAAGGGTAAAAACTGCTTGGAGGGCTGGTATCAAAAAGGGTGTCAAAAAGGGTATCAATATCAAAAAGAGGGTATCAATGTCAAAAAGTGTACCAGAAAGGGTATCGAAAAGGGTATCAATATATCAGAAAGGGTATCAAAAAGGGTAACAACTGCTTGGAGGGATGGTATCAAAAAGGGTACCAAAAAGGGTAAGAAATACTAACAACTGCTTGGAGGAATGGTATCAAAAAGGGTGGGCATCAAAAAGGGTGGGCATAAAAAAGTGTGGGCATCAAAAAGGGTATCAGAAAGGGTATCGGAAAGGGTAACAACTGCTTGGAGGGATGGTATCAAAAACGGTATGGAAAAGGGGAGGCAGTTGTTGGTGGGACATTTTACAGCGAGCCTATATCCCAACCAGTTGTTGGTAGTGGGAAACATGCGAATAACAGACGATACTATGATAGTTTGTTTTTTTTTTTTCATTTCACTTCAGTACGTAATGGAGTACTTAACAAAAACTGATATGCTGCTCTTCTTTTTCTCTGTCTACAACCCCATATCCCTATTATACTAACCACAGGGATTAAAAGTTAGAACACTTTCAAATAACACCAACACATACAGCGAGTGACAAGCAGGGAGATGCTCTCATAGGTAAACGGGAGCCTGCCTCATGTGTCAGTTTTCATTTTTCAATTTTCATGCCATGTGTGTGTGTGTGTGTGTGTGTGTGTGTGTGTGCGTGTGTGCGTGTGTGTGTGTGTTATTTGAAAATGTTTTAATCCCGTTGGTTATTATTACAGGGGTGTGGGGTAAAAGACAAGCAGCATATGAGTTTTTGTTATGTGCTTTACTTTAGCAAGGAAAATGATTGAGAGCGGTAGACAGGAAACCAAATTGCAACATCACAGTGAAGACCAGATAGTCGTGTCCAACGCAGAAAGCAGAATGCACTGAGATACAAGCCAAATAAGAGCAATGCACTGAACTCAAATGTCAATGTGAGCCTCTTCTCGCCATCATCAAC